CAAGTACTGAACCATGCATGAAGGAGGAAAAGTGCATCCATTTTGGCACGCCCCCTTGGATGCATACAATGTTTGTGTGCAGACAACACCAATTCCGACCCATGCAAAGTTGACAGAAAAGTGCATTTTGATCAGAGTCTCAAAGATCTCACTCGCAAAAGTACAAACCACAGAGAAGGTATTGAGCATCTAGCGAAGTGCAATGCAGGCGCCACACAAAGTGTCTGCCTTGAAAAATGTTCTCTGACATCGATGGAAAGTCTGAGTGACTTGATCCATCTGAGGCTTGCAAAAGTTCCAACCTGCAAAAATCTCTTCTCGCATGCAAAGTGCCTAAAGTCGTGCTCTCAAAGCATGGTGCAAAAAAGTCCATTGGAATCTCCCCAGTGCCTGCAGAAGTCCGCCTCTGGGCATTGCTGTAAAGTCGATGGACTGGAAGATGCATGTCACGAATAAAGTGACATTCAGCACGCGCAACGGTTGCTAAATCGCTACTTAGTGAAGTCGGACGGCCGAACTCCATACGAGAAGCGTTGGGGTCGGAAGTTCACTTCCGATTTGCAGCTTTGCCGCGACATGCGCTTTTCGCAAGCCTGGCATGGCTAAAGCCCAGGCGCAACTTCACCATGGCAGTTGGCTCGGAATGTGCACTGAGTCAGGAATGCACTTTTGCGCTGATGCTACTGGTGTCTACAAGACCCGGACGGTGAGGCGACTTTCGCCGTCAATGCAGACGGATGTGGCACTTCTGAAAAGCATCCGCGCGAGGCCTTGGGACTTCTCTAGATCCAAGGTCGAGACGGACAGCTTCATACTTCCGTTCATCCCTGCAGTACCGGGACTTGCGTTGGAGGGGGCGAACTTGCCAGACACGGACGGACTGGAAGCGGACACTTCTGAACCGCTTGCCGACGCTCAAGGTGAACTTGACGTTGAAAATCCAAGCGGTGACTTGCCAGCGTCGTCGAGCGTGCGTAGACCACTTGAGGGAGCTGATGAGGAGACTTTCGGCTCGCCACGTGCAATCCGTCGGAGACTTGATCAGCCAAGTGTACAAAGGATCGTGAACAGAAAGTTCAACCCTGTACCTTGCAGCCAAATCAAGTTTCAGCGCGCGAGACTGTGCATACAAGTTGACCTGCAAGTTCCCGACAGAACTTTGGGCCTGTTTCCACCCAGTGGGTGAAGTACGCAAAGTCAAGCCACCAATCAGAAGTAACTGTCTCCGCAAGCGCCTTAAGTGCTGGCTCAGGATCACACTGAAGCACACCAAAAGTGCGCCCTGTTTCCAGGATGAATCTACGAAGTTCAGCCTGGGAGTAGGTGCTCCGGCCTTTGGTCGGGACCGCAACAGAAAGTCCCAATCCAGTCAGCGCGTCAACGGCGTTCAGCAAAGTGATCGACGGACCACCAACTTTGTCAGACACAAACGCAAAGTCAACCTGTACAACGGGCTGTTTCAACGACAAAGTCCTCGACTGGTTTTGCCTAGACTTGGCTTGGACGCACACGGGGCACCAGCTCCTGAAAGGCAAGTGCGTAAGTGAGTGCTCCATACGCTCCAAGTCCGTAGGCTCAGTCGAAACAGGAAGTCCCCGAGTGTTAAAACCCTCTAGGCCCCGTGCCGAAATTGGGTAGCTGTTCTGAGGTCCTTGTTGGTGTTGCTTCCCAAGTTCCATTGATCGCCATTTGGCTCAAGACACAATTGAGGTTCAAGATCTGATGTGTGACTGTATACATACGTGATCGGCATTGAGAGCGGAAAACACTTCGCTTGCGCTGCATTTGTCAGGACCACTGTTGTAACTATCATTCCTTCTCCCTTACAACGTTTACACGGGTTCGGCTATAACGGCATCGTCCGTATACACCTTTATACGTGGTTGGTATTACAGCTTGAGGGTTCGGTGCATAGCGTCCCACGGGACGTCACCTTGCCGTCTCTTGACAGGTTATCAGCCGTAACTACAAGCTCTACACTGGACTGGGAGACAGCTGGTTTATTGCGGGTACAGGGACAATAAAGGAACGGTAACCTACACAGTACAATGGCGTCTTCGGCGAGCCCAAGTACGGATCCAATGGATTGATGGCTCTTCCTGCGGTGATGGATATGGTTGCAGATTCACAGGATGAACCTGGGAGCGGAGGTTCCGCGCTATTCAGCGACATATCTACTCCCACAAGATCATGGAAGCAGATCGATGTTCATCAGGAGTCGAAGAAAAGAGAATCCCCACCGCGAAGATCATCATCTTCGCCTGCGACACCACGGACGTCGCAGAAGGGCGTGAGATCGACATCGAAGGGTGGGAGGTCAAATCACCCACCAGTGCAGATTTTCGCGCCGTGATCAAAGAGAAGAATAAGATGGAGGTGGAGATCGGGGAATATCAGAAGACACTTGATGAAATGTCGGCAGCAATGGCGAATCTTAACCAAGAAGACTATGGAAGCACCATCCTGATCCAGGA